TAAATATAAATAAATATATACACAATAACAGCAGCTGTACAAGTATTAACCGGAAATGAAGAATATTCAATTTTGTTTCCCTTGTCTAATTTTTCTAGATTAGTATCATCTGTTTTCATCTGTGAAAGTTCTTAGTCATCCAGGTCATTGTAGTGTAGGAGCTTGGAAAGAAAAGTCCAGACGCTTGAAGATGTTTGAAGATGAAGATGTTCTTCATCTTGCTTAAAGATGTTTCACCTCTCATCCGAGAAGCTCCTTAGATCATCTGTGTTCCCACCTGTGGCCTGTTCTCTCGTTACCCCTTGTGTGTATTTATGTCCAAAGTCTCTCTCTGTTTGTCTCGTTATCACCTTTTTTGTTGTTGTTGTTTTAATTTTCAATTTAGAAATGCAACCAAAACCATTCTTTGTTGTTGATAATTCAAAATAAGAATTTCTAAAATTAAAAATGTTTTTTGAACCAAAATGATAAATAGATTTTAGGAAATCCCCAAACTGCAAAAACAAACTCCAAAGAACATTAAGTCCTCTTTAATAAATGGCACTAAATGATAAATCACATATCAAAATTTTGTGTTAGTTTTCTGGCAGTATATATGGTAGATGAGTCTCAGTGCGTTTATCGGGGTGGCTGTAGTTCAGGAGGTAGAGCAGGTCACCTACTGATCGGAAGGTTGGTGGTTCGATCCTTGGCTCCTCCAGTCTACGTGTCAAGTATCCTTGGGCAAGATACTAACCCCAAGTTGCTCTCCGATGCATCCGTCGGAGTATAAATGTGTGTGAATGTACTTAGAAAGCACTCAATTCAGAGAAAGTGCTTGTGCGATTGGGTGAATGTGGCATGTTGTATAGAGCGCTTTGAGTACTCCGGGGCTATGTAAGAATCGGTCCATTTATCTGAAATTTCAATTTGATAGTGACAACTTAACTGAAACAAGAAACTGACTTACTGCTCATAGCTATTGCTAATTTCCAGTCATTGTCCCTAGTTTGGCTTTTACATCCACAATACACATGTAAAATTTTACCGTATCCAATTATATAGATACAAAACTACAATAAATGTATGTTAACAAGAAAAAAAAATGACCAAAAGAAAAAAAAGTTCCTCAAACCAAAGAAGGAATATAGTTATGTAGATCACACATCTGACAGGATAATTAAGGCCATGACACTGTCTCTAATATGAAGAACTGAAATGAAGTAAGTGAATATGACAGCCCTCTTCTCGGACACAGTTCATGCCTCCGGGTGTGGATGGTTTTTCCTGTCATATAAGAGATGAAAGGATTGGAACTGTTGTTAATCTTGTGATTATGTGTATTTTACAAGGTCAATTGACCGTCGGGCGTCGCAGTGCTTTGGCCTCAGTCATGCATGATGGTGTATGAAGAGTTGGAGTTAGCGGCCTTCGAGTGGTGTGCTTCTGAAATTGTAGGGCGAGCCGGACTGAAGGGGAATAGAGCTGCTGGAGATAACCAAGATAAGCGAGTGAACGCTGAGTGAATGTGATTTTGATTGTAAGGAAAAATTTGATGGCAACAGCACATTTCAAAAGTTGGGGCGGGGCCATTTTTACCACTGTTTAGCATCCCCTCCTTTTTCTTCGTGTGATAGCTTCAGCCAGCATTTGTGAATGTCACTGGGAACTATTTTTACAGACAGTGACTTCTTAAAGTGTTGCTCGGCCCATGCAGTGATTTTCATGATAGAATCGATCCCGTTTTAATGGAGTGCCACTTTTTGCCCTTGTCCCTTGTGCACAGAGATTTCTCTAAATCTGAGATGTGATTATGTACTGTAGATTGTACTGTAGTCTTAATTTTCTGTTTAGGAACATTGTTCTGGAACTATTCCACAATTTGACTGGTGAACCTTTTTGGGTAACTTCTGCTCATCTTCAGTTTTGAGTAACTGCCTCTCTAAGATGCTCTTCTTATACACAGCCATGTTACTCACCTGTTGCCATTAAAAACTGATCAAATGCTGCTTCAGCTATTTCTTTTTTAACTACAACTTAATTTACCAACCGTTTGTTGTATGCCTTTTAAATTCAAAGTGCAGAGAAAAATGGTGTGTAGTAGCTGGAAAATGTAAATGTAAAAAACTAATGGTGAAACCTTTTGAGTCACCTACATTAATAAAAAAAAAATAATTCTGTCTCTCTCTCTATCTACACTTTGTGGAAAATAGTTCTGAACCCCCTACGCAATACACCTACAATATATAATACACTTTCTATACAAACTCCTTGGAAATCCATGCCATGAAACTCCTGGCGCACCGTTTGTGTGCTGATGTTAATGCCAGAGGAAGTTTGGAACAGTCCAATCATGGAGTCTTCAGAGCATTGGTGACTTTTACACACCATGTGTCGTATCCTTTGTAACTTCGTGGCTGATTGCTGTGCTTTCACTTTGTATTAATAACACTTACAGCTCATTGTAGAATATCTTGGAAGGAAGAAATTTAACAGGATGAATTGGAAATTGTAAACGACAAAACAGAAATTGTAGTTTTCACTAGCCATATTCCTAGAACCTAACAGGTTCACTTGGGCTGTTTGCTACCTTTCTTTCTGACTTTCTTACTGTAAGCTACCTGGGCATTCTCTTGGACAGTTCTTTTCAACTTGACAAACAAGTACCACTGTAGTTAAATCGAGCTTTTACCAACTACACCAAATTGCCAAGACCAAGCCTTACATACCCTGTATGGATCTTGAGAAACGTATCTATGCCTTTATCGTCTCCAGATTAGACTACTGTAACTCTCTCTATATTGGCCTCCAATCTACCCTTCTCTGCAGACTGCAGCTCGTTCAAAATGCGGCAGCACGCCTCTTAACGGGAACTGGCAGGTTTGATCCTATCACCCCCATCCTCGCTGACTTGCATTGGCTTCCCATCAAATACCGCATTGATTTTAAAATTCTGTTGCTTACCTTTAAAATTATAAATAACATTGTTCCTAGCTATCTTACTGAACTTCTCAGCTTGTACACTCCTAGGAGAGCACTGAGATCAACGGGCCAACTGCTCTTAGTGCAACCTAGGTCACGGCTGAAGACCAGAGGTGATCGTGCTTTTGCCATAGCTGCACCCAACCTCTGGAATAATCTTCCTACTGCTATTCGTCCATCTGAATCGATTCAGTCTTTTAGTGCCTGTTTCCTGCAAATGTTCCCTTATGTACTTTTAATCATTTTACTTTATTGCTGAATAACCTCTTAGTCGAGTTTTTTTGTATTTTCATTTACTTATTTACACTGTGCTGCAGCTAATTAGTGCTCTCCACCTGCTGGTGTATTTATTATTATTGTTATTGTTCCTATCTCTAATTTATTGTATTACTGTGAAGCACTTTGGTGTACCGCTGGTTTTTAAATGTGCTATACAAATAAAGTAGTATTGTATTGTATTGTATTGTATTTTTGCCGTGGTGGCATCCTATTATAGTAGGAACTCTTTACGACCTGCATGGCTAGGTTCTTGATTTTACAGACCTGTGGCAATAGGCTTAAAAAACTTGAATTCAGAGATTTCGAGTTCTGGCCCATGACTATGTCATCTAATGGTTGTTGGTATCCTTGACACACATTGCTCTTATTGTGTTTTTTGGGGTGGGGAAGCAGTGAATAGCTCACTGTGTAGGTCAGCAATAATAATATCCTATAAATATCCTGTCAGTTTTATGGCTCAGTGTTTTCTTAGCTGGAGACAGAGGATCACTGCTTTCATTCTCATGGTTTGTTTACAAAGGATTCTCCTTTGGGAAATAATCGTGACTGCCTCTCATATCAACATGTAGCCATATCGCTTGTCATTTATTTGGTCTAATTTCCCTTTGGACACATAAGATCCAAAATAGCTTAATGCTTTTAAGGATAGTAGGAAATATTAAAGGGTCTTTGTTATGGTTCGGGCTAAAGGGGGAAAAAAAGTGGCATAAGTTTTATAAATTTACATTCCAGTTTCGTATGTTGGCTCTTTTTCTCTTGTGGTCTGATCTTAAAAATGATACACGTAGTTTGAAAAGCCCCCTGTAGACAACTTCACTTCACTTGACTAGACTTCACTGTGGCTAAAATGAGAATGCCTGGAGTGGTGTTAAGCAGCGTGTGCTTGTCAATGTCTACACAGCAGCTCGCAGCAGCAGCGCACCATCTGCCAGGTGTTGTATAATGCAGTATTTATGTGTCTTGCTGTCCTTTGGCCTGCTTGTGTGAGGCTTAAATTGAAATATGTATTTAAAGTGAACTCGTTGATGTCATTTCTTAATGTTTCGCTGTCAAAATGGGTGTCACGTAAACTGTTTCACAGAAATCGTGTTTTTGGATGGTTTTACAGTCCAAAAACCATCACTGGGTTGACAGACTACACAGCTTCCATCTCATACATCTGCAGCCATGTGCTGAGCAAGAAACTTTGAGACTATTAAACATGTAGAGCATTCATGTCTATGTGACTGCGCTAAAGGCACAGTCACAGACCACAGCTGTTATTGAAATTTGTTTTTGTCCTGGTAGAAGGACGTACTTGAAGTGATTTGAGCAAAGATGACAACTGATGTCTTATATATAGTTCCCTCAAAAATGTGTTTACAAATCCTATTTTTAATATTATGCGATTAGTGTATTTATTTCTTGGAAGGATGTTTGTTTTGGAGCTGCTGGATATTTGAATTTAATAAAGTACCTATTCTACATGATACTATACCACATAACCATACTGTAACTACAGTATATCGTGTCTGTTAAACATTTTTGTTCTGTACCAGACTATATTTCTGTATTTCTTTTACACAGACATTTAATTTTTTACATTAATTTAAAGATTCTTATGCCATTGCAATGTGAATAGTGTATAAATGATAGTTTCATATATGGAATTTCTTAAATATCTCTCTGTCCAGGGTCATCAATGCAGGGAAAAGCACATTAAATGAAGATCAGGCTTGCTGTGAGGTCCTGGTTGTTAAAGGGAGACCTGCAGGAAGCCTCGCGCCTAACCGAACCCCCACGACCCGCAGGAGATCGTCCCTGCCTAATGGTGAGAGTCTGGGCCTCCGGGAGAACCCGGTAAGTCAAAATGGAGGGTTCATGCCCCAACCCCCCCATCCCCCCATCACATCCACCTTCACGGACATTCTGCAGATGCATTTTCACGACAGGAAAGGACAACAGAGAAGGATAGAGTACAAACTGTGCTGTGATCTATTGCATTTCTTCTCCATTTGTTATCTTTAGAAATAGCACGCTTTCTGGATGGATAAACATTTGCGCAGCCAAAATAATTATTTGCACTGAAGTAAAAAGAATGGGGGGGGGGAAGGAAAAGTCTTTTGGTGAAATCGGGTGGAAAGTTAATAAAGGATCACTGAGCAAGTGAAACTGTGTTCTACGAGACAGTCTTATATTTGCAGACCAAACATTTTACAGAATTTAGCAGATTATCATGCATGACTTAAGGGTCATAATGCCTCCTTTCTTTCTAGAAAAATGCCATGGCAGACTGAAGCCTTTACATTTTAGCTTTACTGATGAAGGTAATGCAGGTAGAATGAGTTCATCAGTGAATTCCCCTGAGGCCTGTTGGTGAGACCCAGCAGTTTATTGGAGCGGACAGCTTAGCGTCCTTCACACTCCACGGTAGCCTTCAATGACTCTTAAAGTCACCCTTGTTTGCTTTCACAAGAACATTGTGTCATGGAGTACTAAAGAAAACTGTGTATCATTATACCAAAATGCAGTGTCACTGCTCTACTGTCACGACATATTGACACACTTAATTCAATCACTTGCAATTGATCCCATTCCCTACAAGGCAGAGAAAAGATGAAAAGCGCAAAATGTTTACCAGCTCTTTTAAAGTCCTTTGTGATTACAGTATACTAATACTGCTCATAAAATCTCCTCTCAGCTCACCAGTACTTTACTCAGGCCCAGCCGGAGCCTACAGCAAACTCATGCAAGTATCTCATGACTCACTTTCGCAGTGATGTAGCCTTTTTAGTGCTCTTTGCCTGCCTCGTAGACTCACGCTGTAGAATTTGCCTGTGCCATATATAGACAATCAGAGGCTTACTTTGCGCAGCAAAATGTGATGCATGCAACAGCAACTCTGTGGCTATGTGACTTCATTACTGATAGGGGAGCTGTGCTGATATGTAACAGACTTTAAACAGAAATCAGGCCATTGTTTTTTTTTTTGTGAAGACCAAAAACTCAAAGGTGAGCAATGAATCAGCCAGATCACAAGACATTTTGAATCTTGTGTGGGAGATGAGACTTTGTAGATCAACACAGAGGACGCGGTGTGCGGTTTCAGAGCACAAACTGCATCATGCTGCACCTACTAATACCTCCAGATTTAAGCGAAAGCAAACATTAACATCAGGTTCATTCACTTATGGGCATCGTGCATATCTGTGGGGAGGTTTGAGCTCAGATCAGATTACGAAGTCTTCACACTGAAGACCGATGGGATGAATTTGAATGCTGTGTAGAAAGGCGCTCTCATCCACCAACTGTGAGCAGCGCAATTTACATAGTACAGCTTCCTGTTTGTGTTTGAGAGCTGTACCTTAAGTTCAACTGGTTCTGATTTGGTATTAAAAAGGTCTCTCTTTTCGCTCTGTGCACCATTACAATGATTGTACATCAGCGGTTCCTGAATGTCACGACTCTTTGCCCATCAGGCTGTACTTCACATACTTCCACCTTTGATATTCAGTGGATTTTCGGCGTGCAGTTCATAGATCAGTATGAATGCAAAGTCAGATGAAGTTCCTCCTCTCGCATTTTGCATACTTAATGTTGACACATTTTTATTTACTTTGATTCTTATCTGTTTCCAGGACAACTCTGAAGACCTAACTTTACACTACTGGGCATTGTTCGATGGCCACGCTGGCTCCGGGGCAGCTGTAATGGCCTCTCGTCTTCTCCACCACCACATTGCCCTGCACCTACAGGAAGTGATGGAGATCCTCTGTACTCCTAACCTTGTGCCGCCCACGTGCCTGGGTGAGGAACCTATCAATCACCACCTCACCCCTTCATCTCAGCGTGTCCTTACAAGGGCTGCATCGCTCCGGGGTGCCGCAGGGGCTCCGGGTTCCCCCAGTACCCCACCGACACGCTTCTTCACAGAGAAGAAGGTGTCGCAGGAGAGCCTGGTGATTGGAGCCATCGAGAACGCCTTCAAAGACATGGTAAGAGGCACGTGCGTGATCTGTAGTTGTCTTTTGACCTGTAAACGTTCCATGTCAAATGCATAGATTGTATATAAAAGATGGATTTAGCCACAGTGGCGTCATAGATTGATTTGCAGGATACCATCTTCAAGGCTCGAGAGGAGCATTTTGATTCTATGGCACTTTTGGGCCTTTCATTAAAGTCAGGTGGTGTATCTCTAAGCAGAGCACTTTACTGCCCACACCCACACCTGGTTTTATCCGCTAGTTAAAAAAAATGCTGTAACAATGAAAAGAATACAAAGAAAAGCTTCTCCTGCTCTTCATAAAATGACGCTTTTCCAGCTGTTTTGCCTGGAAGCAGGGCGTTGCTGGAAATGAAAAGATTAACTGTATTCTGTTAAGCTAAGTTACAAACCCATAACCATATAATACTTTTTGATCACTGCACACACCTTTAGCTGTCATACACATACAGGGAATTTCCAAACTACTGTTCTTTTGCACCCCACGCTCCACTTCATCACTGCCTGCGCACATACTATAAAATTAATAATCTTCACATCTGTTAGCCTCTAGTTGCTATCAGTAAATGCTGATTTGTCATGATTAGACAGTCAAGCCAATTGCACATAAGCCTCCTAACTTCCTGCTGGTGTGTAAAGGTGTAGAAATGACCCGAGCTACCCTTTCTGCTGCTAATTTGCTCAGTATGTTCAGTTATACAGCTGTAAAATATTTATGTGCTACACTATTAAATGACTTTATCCATTAGAGCCGACATTAGTATTTCAAAACTTAAAGGTACAGTAAGTCACTGTTTGAGATTAAACAATAGAAAACAGGCTGCCCCTCTGTTGGTCTTCCTTGGTCTCTTGTGTTCTGGGGGCCTCTGGATGTCTGGAGTTTTGATCTCCTCCATACCTGCTTCATACCCTGGAGGACGGGGCTGTGGCTCCCCACACTCCCTAGCAGATCGTTACATGGAGAAACCTTTGGAATGCAAGCATGCTGATCCACACAGGTGTACACACGGGTATTCACAGACGCGGACTACAGCTTTCTTGGCTGCTGCCTCAAAGCACATTGTGCGCTGTCTATCTTGCGTGCTGCACAATATCGTTTATTATTTAGTATCTACTGATATCTACTGCTAGCTAGTTTATTGTGATGGTGCCGTTTTTTTTTTTATTATGTTGCTCTTTGTTGTTTGCTTTCTCTTCTGTTTTTTTCTCCATACAGGTGACCCAGGTGTTTTGTTTTTTTGTTTGTTTGTTTTTTTTTCTTTCTTCCCCCCCTTCTCACCGTCTCTTCTCCCCTTTGGTTTTCTTTCTCTCCCTCTCTTTCTTTCATTCTTTCTCCCTGTCCTATCCCCCAGTCATGTCTGTCCCGTTTGTAGCAACTGAAAATAAAATAAATTCATAATCATAATAAAGGTCAATCAAATGGACCAATATGGCAAGGCCATGATGATCCACTTGGTAAAATAAATCCGCTTGGCATCTTTCTTGGCCTTAAGACAACAAACAGAAGAAAACAAGAATATTGTACTCATAAATATACATTGATTAGTGCCCAACTATGTCTTCCCACAAATCGATGCATTTTCATAAACTTGAATTAATCCATTAAAAAAAACACAGAAGCAGGTTTGGCTTGTGGAAACTACCATGTTGCTCCACCATCTTAAATACAGTGGCTGAGATGGTTTTGGTACTCCTCTAATTAACAGTTTCTCACATTGTATGAGAGTTTCTTTACTGAGTGTCTGAGTCCAGCGATGTTAGATCAAAGGAAGTTTCACTAACACTGGCTAACAGCAGCTAATCAGTGCAAAAAGAGCCAACTGCTGCCATCCAGTGGTGAGATTTTCCACATTGTACCTTTTAAATTGACTGTTTCTGTATTAACAGTACTGCAGGTTTTAATGGGCTTGTCTTGAGCATCATCCTCCAGCACTTTAGAGAGGAGATTATGTGTCTCTGACAGCTGGTTAAAGGTGATAAGGTACTTATGGCGTGATCACACGCTGTAAATTTTACCAGAGGCCTGATAGCCTGAGTCAGACGGCAAGTAGCACAGCCAGGAGAAGTAATGTACTTTCGCCATAAGCTGCTGCAGGTCACAAGCACTCGGCATCTGGCTGCGCTCTAAGTGGATGCTTGAGATTTAACCCGTGGAGAGGCCATGGGATCAAGAGCAGAGCTAATCAAAACAGTGCTAGCCTGTGTGATTGAGGGGTCAAAGTTCACTTTTTCAGTTTCACCTTCAGGCTCTCTGTTCTTGATTATGTTTGTAATGATCCTATGCACGCCTGTATAGGGAGATTAAATTCTTAAGTCAAAGAGGGTTTCATTTGCAGTCATTCGCAGTTTCCCATGTAAACAGTATAATGCCTGTCAGCCAGTTTTACATAAGCAAAGGTTTTTAGGTATGTTCAGAATTCCAGTAAAACAGGTGAGAACTAACTGCTGATGCACCTGTACCTCAAACATGGAATTTACTAATGATTAAAGCCGGAATCTTTTTGTCCCTTAGCCCATAATGTGCATTTCCTGGGAACGTTGCTTCCGGCTGCTGTGTTATACACAAGGGATCGCCACATGTTTGATTTGGAAGATTTTTAGATGATATGTTCTTTATAACACAACACAATTTGTGTCACTACACTTGTGTACACCACACATCCCCATGTTTAGACTAATATCTGTGTGGTGGAGGTAAACCCCCTCCTGTAATAGGCTAGGCCTGACACTGAATTATCCTTTTGATTGCAAAATCATAAATTCTAACTGTAAAATGTAACACGGGTCAGATATTGGTGAATGGCAGTGTGGACCAGTCTCCTCGGAGAAATCAGTGCTTAATGCCGTCTAGTGCTTCCATTTGTTGACCACTAGGTGGTAGTGTGTGGTTAGTAATGTTTAAGAAGCCGCACTGCACTGCCAACCAAAGAGAAATTGTGGACTGGTGCTAGTCTGTCTTTGTAGGTACAGCAATGCTTTTTGCAGGATTAGTTAACTAAAAGTTCAACTGTGAATTGTTGATTATTGAACTGCTGATTCGAAGTTGTGAGGGATGTTTTTTGAAACAGTCAGGGTGATTACTGAAACAATGTCAGGCTAACATTTGTTGAACATTGTGGCATTAATTAGTAGAAATCAGGTTTCGGGTTCAATTCAGTGTTTCACCGAAAAGGCAGCACATTCTCTGTGGTGGAGTCCTCCTTACTCTTTTATTTTTCTACTTGCAACCAACATTGGCTTCTTTTCCTCCCGAACTTGCCCCTGAAAGAGCTATTTTTAAATCATATATTTTAAAGCACATACAGTGTATTTTAGGTTCATTGTTCAGTGCTACACTAATTTGTTTCTTCAGGTGGTCACAGTGTGTTTTTTCTTACAACACAATGGGTTCTAATTACAGTACTTACTCTCCTCCCGAGCTGTCACTTATTTTAATTTCAGTAATCATTTTTCCGTAAAATTAGATGCAGTTTGGTTCAAATGGCACACATTTCCTCTTGGAACAAAACACTGTCAGCTCTGCTCCTGCTGAGAAACTACCCAAAAGCTGATTTTGGCAGAGTCTCACCCCTCAAAGGATCTAGACCTGTTTTTCTTCAAGGAAGCTCGTTTTTACCCCCCCATAAAGAAAGCAAGAAAGAAAAAAGAAAATGGAAAGTGTCAGGGAGTCTTGGAAAGGTTTGGTCTCACAAAAAAGATCTCACTCAATCTCTGTATCTTATCAGCAGGCTCCACCTTCAGTTCTGGCACACATCCCCATTGGAAATAGAGGGGCTGTTGAGGCCTGATAAACCCTGTGTAAATATCAAAACCAGTGTTAGCTGATAGACGGAGGTGTATCACCTGAGCTGTATCTAAAGCCAGGGCAGGAAATATGTCAGTACTCACTCACCTTTTTTTTTTTTTTTTTTTTTGTCCAATTTATTTGTAGATCATATATATACACTTCGTACTATGTATACATCGTATAATCGAGTTTAGCCATAATAATTGTCTTTGTACATTTTACCACTATTTTTGAACTGTGGGGCTTGGTCTCTGATTTGTAAGTTTACATTAGAACTACATTTTCAAAAGCTACAACATGCTTATTGACTTTTTAAACTAGCCTATTAGCTTTGCAGCTTTAGGAGAGAGACTCAAACCAAGGTTAATTAGCTTAATTGGCTGAAATACCAGCTCATCAGTTAAAAATACGTAAGAGCCAGAACGAGAGAAATATGCATACGAGTTATAATCACAGGTTATTTGAAAGTGTTGTGGCCCGAGCTTTAAAATAGTTTTGCACATAACCTCTCATGTGACAGTGTAACATTTTGATTTATAGTTATAGCCTGTACTGAGCTAACAAGCTGCTTACTGTAGCAGTATATTTATCATGCAGACACAAAACTAGTATTTATTTGCACAGTAGTCGACTGTGCAAATGTTTTGACTCATCCCTCATATCCTCATATCATTCACTTGAGTCCCACCACCAGGCCTGCATACAGTCATTTGAAAACATTGTTTTTCATATGACCTTAGTATAGCAGTAGTGAACAGTAGGTACCTGTCAAATAGGCTTGTGGCTGTGTGAGTGTGTGTTTGATGCTAGGAGTGTTTTTCTAATTTGCAAAAAGATTTCACCCAAAGGTCTTTTTCTGCATTCAAAATCAACTGATAGTTACTGCTGTCGCTAATTAGTTCAAAATGATTAATTCCGTTAATTACCTGCCACACTGTCGATCATGAGAGCTCTCTTGCCTGAAATTAATCCTCTTTTCCTGTTGTGACTGTCCTGAGTTATTTCTTTTCATTTCCTGCTTTTGGTCCTAATATCTTTGGGCTCTCTCACTGATTCAGTAAACTCACTAAATGATAAGGCTGGTCTGAGCAGTACTGTGGCCTTCCTGACTGGAAGAACGACACACAAAAAACTTTTGGTCTTCGAAAATGCAGTCACACAAAATGTGAGTCTACCTCGTGTCTATTTTTGACTTTTAGAGCAACTTAAAGATTTTTTTTTAAATAGCAACATCCAAATTATTTATGGGCGCACTATACATAAATATCAAATTCAATTAAGTTTTATTTATATAGCACCAAATCACAACAACAGTGACCTCAACCTGCTTTATGTAAAGACCCGACAATAATACAGATAAAACCCCAACAGTCAGAGGACCTCCTGTGCAGCCAATTGGTGACACTGGGAAGGAAAAACTTAGGATAGGAAGATATCCTGCAGAACCAGTTAGTCATCTTCCGCAACGAACATGGTTGATGGGCTGATTGGTTGATGGGTTGGTACAGCTAAAAGATTTTTTTAATGAAATGTTTTCCCAGTTGTGTTTCACTGAGTTGAGATTCAGCTGTCTGATGCGATATAGGCGTGAATCGTACGATACCTTTTGTGTATACTTGCTGTACTTTGAAGTGGGAAACAATTGCTTAATTCTGGTTGGACTCTCCTTGTTAGAATGTCCAATTAAATTTGTTTTAATTCACTTAATGTCCCTTTAGTTGTTGGTATGTTGGCTAGTTTGTTGATATGTTGCACGACTGATGTGACACTGAGGGATGTCAGACCTACCAGTATTACTTGATGGTATTTTTCTTCCTTCCAGGAAACAATAAAGATGCAGGGCTGTGCAAAAAGCGCTTCAGCATTTATAGTAGTATGGTATAAAGAGATGAGCATGTATGAGCGTTGAACTGCTCTACGTCTTTCTTTTTTTGGTCTGCCTTCTGGTTTAAAGCTCAGTTGTTTCTTCCTGGCTCAGGCGCACAGGAGAAAGGTGTAGATGTTTATGCAGACATTTTCATTATTGAAGACTTGCCTGCAGCAAGAGGTATTGGATACAGCAAGGATAAATATGCATAGCTCGCTATGGATTCATAATTCATCCAGGGTGAAGGACACATTTGTTCACCCCTCCTATCCTCCAAACCCTTCCTTCAGCCCCCTACCCCCAGGAGTGTCTGCTGGAGTGCAACCCACACACACGCACACTCAGATTCACACTTAATGCATCTTACATCTGGACACGAACACATAGTTATGCACACAGAGTGCGCACACGCTGCATTCCACTCCTGTCTCCTGTCAGAGAACCACACTGCTCGCACTGCAATGCTCGCACGCTTACAGAGTCGTATTCAGATGGAGGGCGTCGGCGGCAGAGCAGAGGGCGATACGCTTTAGTAAGGGGTGACATCCCTCATGGGAAAAACGTGCTAGGGATGGACTTGCTGCAAATGTGTTTGCCAACATTATCGGCCCCACTCAGTCTGTTGATAGTGACGCCGGGATGGGAATGAGGTGCCTGATGGGGTCACTCGTTTCCCTGAAATATCTTTCCGCTTCTGTAGTGCGATTTTAAAAAAACCCAGAGGAGCCGTTACTAGCAGACCAGCAGACGGAGAGCACAAAAAAGGGTTAAATGCAGTCTGAGCGGCTTGGTTCAAATTTACGTTAGTGCTTTGATTAATTCAGTGACAGGTTAATTATTCATCTAATGAATGAACTGACGGCATGGTTTTCTTCAAATCATTTTTGGTTTAATTAGCACCAAATTAATCTGGGCTAATTAGCTGGTGTAATAATCAGTGGGCCCCTCCAAACTTTCTCATCTGTCCTTTTTGGTTTCCATTATTTTTTATTGCTCCTTGACTTGTGGCACTCTTGATAAATGAATTCATTATGGTGCTATAATTAATAACGGCATCATGACAGGATTTGAGTATCAAGGCAATATTTTCTCAGTATCAGTTTTAAGCTGTATGGGGAAAAACAGTTCTTCAAAGCTGTGGTGATTAGAAACATGACGGTGTGCAGAGGATCGGTTGTGGATTATGTGTCCTCGTCATCATAATCTGTCTGTGTCTCTGTGTGTTTTGTCTTTTTTTTAGGATTTACAGATAGAAAAGGAGAAGGCGGTCTACAACATCTCAGGTGGCTGCACAGCGCTGGTGGTCGTCTATTTACTCGGCAACCTCTATGTGGGGAATGCCGGGGACAGCAGGTGTGATACACATGCAATGAGTGTATATGTAAGATACAGTGGGGGGGGGATGATTATTTGATCCCCTGCTGAGTTTGTGAGGTTGCTCGCTTGGATGTGAGGAACAGTCTCTGGTGTTTATGCTGGTTTTATTTTAATGGAGAGACAGAATATCAACCAAAAATCCAGAAAAAAACACATTGCATAAAAATACGTATTGATTTGTATGTCACTGACTAAAATAAGTATCCCCTAGCAAAACACGAACAAAGCATAACGCTTCCGCCTCTATGCTTGACTATGGGGATGGTAATCTTTGGGTCATCTTTGGTGACTGCGGTCCAACTCCCTTTAGCTCATTTACAAGCTCCTGCCGTGTAGTTTTGGGCTGTTCCACCACTTTTCTCATGATCATCTTCACCCAATGAGGTGATATCTTACATAAGAGCTCCAGACCGAGAGAGAGAGTTTTTTCTGAATAATCACACCAACAGTGGTCAGCTTCACGTGAAGCTTCTTGTTAATGGTCTAACAGCTCGTTGGTCTTGTCCACAGTGGAGGGGAGGTTTTAATGAATTAAACTGATTCTGTGGACAGGTGTCTGTGGACATAATGAGCTATAATCAGGAGTATCTCTAATTGCTTGGTTGATTGTAATCTGTGTGGCACACAAGCGCACAACCAATCTGTAGCAGCAGATCGTAGTGGATCAAACACTTACTTCCCTTAATAACATTTTAAATTAATTTAGAACTTTTATGTGACGTGTTTATTTGTTCTGGATTTTTGGTTAATATTCCGTCCCTCTTCATTAAAATGTTGTTTATTTGTATGTGAGAAAACTAACAAATTCGAAAGAGGTTCAAAAATAGTGATTTCCCCTGCTGTAGCAGACTGTAGAATCTTCTTTGTTTTCGTCTCTGTGTTTCTCGCTCACCTTCTCGTGCCCTTTAGCCTACAGGAACAACTGTGTCCCTTCCTGGATGAATAGAGTTTTGCTTTGTCTGCTCCTCTCCCTCAGAGCTATCATTATCCGGTCTGGGGAAGTCATTCCCATGTCAGCAGAGTTCACACCAGAGTCAGAGAGGCAGCGACTGCAGTTCTTGGTAAGAAAGAACCTTTCTCAGCTCCTTTCTAGCAAGCACAGCTGTCAGATATTAGCAGAGCTGGCCTCCCCTCCTGTTGAGACACCAGCTATGCTTAGCTCTGTCTCTCTTACACGGCCTGCTCTCTGTGCCAGCTTAATAGACTATGGAATTGTTTTTCCTATCCCTAGGGCGCGTCAATCTTCTTCTCTTTCTGTTTTTTTTTTCTCTTTTCATATCACAGGCCTACATGCAGCCCCACTTATTAGGGAATGAGTTTACACATCTGGAATTCCCAAGGAGAGTCCAGAGGAAGGAGGTGGGGAAGAGGATGCTGTATCGTGACTTCACCATGTCAGGATGGTGGGTTAACTAATACTTTTTTTTTTTTTTGACTAAATTACTGATTGAATGTATGTCAGTGTCCAGTATCCACCTGGGAGGATAACATTTTGGTTTCTGCACTCAAGTCCTTCACATTTGTTAGAAATGCTGTCGATGTTATTTAGCCACATATCTGGTTGAATGCATTTATGAGCCTTCTGAAAGAAATCTCTGCAGCCTACACTATTATTTCCATTCGATAGATTTTTGCACAATGTACCCTATAAAGAAATTCATCTGTGTCCCATTCACCGAGTAATTCAGTTCATTAGCACTCCACAATCATCTTGAGAACTTTAGATTGTAAGGTCAGTACTTAACTATTAACACAATGGCCACAATGGGGAGAAGAAACTTTACTTTTAAAAAGTCATTCAAGTCATCAGTTGTCATAAAGAGGTCAGGAACTGTCCTTCGTATTTCTTCTTTTGTGTGTTAGTGGGCAAAGCAAAGACCTTGCCCTGTGTCCTAAAGTAAAGAGAAAAATAAAAAGGAGGGAAATAGAAAAAAATGTATAAAAACTAAGAACTGACAAACAGAAAAAGCTGAGACCAGGGCACCAGAGAAACGGAGGCAGGGAAGGTTATATTATATAAACATTGTGTTTACATTTTCTTTATGTAGAAATGGGTTCAAGGATAGATCATTTAATTTTGTAGGACCACTAAAGCTTTTAGTTATCGCTGCTGAATCTTCACCTTTTGTTTTTACTTTTTCCAGCCATGGCAATCTATTAAACTAGCATTACCGCAATTCAAAAACACTCAGAAATAAAGTAAGGTCTTCATCGCTACCTTTACGATTAAACAGCTAATTTAGCATATTTACCCAGGTAATTTAACACAATATGGATTACAAAACTAAACATATAGAACAGTGCAAAGCTCTATAAATGGAAAAAAAAGGAAATTGGGTTACAGATTTATTAAAAATACGTGCAATCACAACACTCCTTATATTAATAATATTGAGCTCTCCATTCTGCTTAGGCTAGCCTATGAGATTTGCTATTCATGTATGATTTTACAGCATTGACGGTGTGTTTGGGTTCATTGCCACGCTGATAAATTCAGCCAATCAGATGCTTTCCGAATGGTGTTGCATTGCGAATCAAAATCTAGACAAGTCAAAAACCATGACCGAGCCTCTGCCATGTTTTACAGTTGGCTACAGACACTCACTGTTGTACCTCTCAGCTGACTTCCTCCTTACATCCTGATAACGATTTGACCGCTTTTAAAGGTTGAATAATTCATAAGTCAGTTTTAAGTGTTTCAACAAGGGGAAAAAAACATTCTTCCAAAAATGCTCAGGTACAAGGATGGGGTTGAAAACGAGTGACAAAGCAGCCAATATCCAAAGGAAATCTTTGAAAGACCTTCAGAGAGCCTTTTATGAAGTTTGTGGATATGATTGTATTCTTATTAACTAATGACTCATGCATGCAAGCACACACAGACACACGTAAAGAGAGAGGGGATGAGAAAAATATAACGCTCAAAACCAGATGCTTGTTTCGAAGTGAAGGTGCAGGTGTATTATTATTATCATTATTATTATTATTATTCACGTATCTGGTTCGTGGTGGTGGACCACAGTCAGTATTGGTGCTCTACTTGAGGTGTGACTAATTCTTAGAAAAGACTCACTGTTTTAGGAAGTTGAACTGGTAACCTGTGCTGACACTGAGAGCGTGTAGTATAGTTAAATATAGTTTTAAAAACAGTTTTTTATCCATTATTAATAATTACAGATCATTTAAGTTGATATGTAGAATGATCCCTTATTAAAAATCCCCAAACTAGTGGAAAAGGCATTTCAGTTTAGAAAGCCTGCCTTTTAATGTGATTCTAATCAGACTTCTGCATCTCAGTCAGGATGCTCTGGGCTCTTAAATAGGATTTCAGTGCCGTTTGTGTGACTTGCACTGCGACATACGTTGGCAGCATTCTATCCCGAGCTGGCTGCGATACTAAGCAGAATCCATGCAATGACTGGCAGAGCTAATTATTGTGTGTTTTATGTTTTGTAATGTTTCTAGAAAACTACAAGTATTGCTATGCAGATGCATTTACAGGAGAGACGCTTCTATCGAAGGAAAGCGTGAACTGAGGATGAAGTGGGTGACTGACGAGAGTTGAGCAGGATATATTTTTTTGACTCCACCTGCATGCAGTTGTGTTTTATGGCTCTGCTCAGTTAAAGCAGATGTAGGTCAGTCAGTGGCTGCACTTCTTATTGGGCCCAAAACTCTCACTCAGTCTGCCTGCTTACTGTCTGAGCAGCAGAGACAGCCTGTGATGTATTTTTAATCAGGTTCTACCCATAACCCAGTTATGGCTCAATTTCACCCGGACTAAGTCTGGGTCTTAAATTAGTACCCTGTCAGCTGCTGTAGCTAATTGATCTGAAGTGCATGGCTCTGACTTAACTGTGTCATCGTCTATAGGTGCAGATTATATGCTGTATAGGGAGAGAGGATCTTTTTTTTCTTTTTTTTAATCTTTCTTCAGCTTTCTGTCTGTGCATGTATATGTGTATGTGCAGCCTGTGTGCCCACATGCTGTGAGCGCGTAGGCGTACGCTGGCGTCCAATTCCCTCAAAGGCATCCGTGATCAAGGCTGCAGTCTAATGAAGGCATACAGGCCTGCAGCCCACCTCTCTGTCTCCCTCCCTTGCTTTCTTTACCTCCCCTCCGTCGGCCAGTTGGACCAGATTGAGGTTCTGGCGTTGGCATTGTCGGCTGTAATAGTGGTCATTGGCCGGCATGGCAGGCTGTGTTATTTGCCCAGAATGACGGATGTTGAGCAGTCGGCCGTGTTCGCCGTAATGTAGAAGCTGCGGTAACGCAGGCGGGCAGGTGGAGGGAGGGAGGGAAGGAGGTTGGGGAAGAGGGGTGGGTGACTGGAGTAAGGAAAAAGAAGTAAGTGGATTGAGGTAAGATGTAAAAATTGATAAACAGATGAAGGAAGGATGATTGGTATGTTGTGTTGGTCACAAAGGAGGGAAGGGATGGATGACAGTGAATGGTTGTGAAGCACAGTGGCATTCACTCAAAAGTCTTTAAGGTATACTTTTCTTCTTACAGAGTGTTGTATGTAAGAAGAAAAAGGAAGTACCATGGTCAGCCTTGAAAACAATACCAGGTTCTTGTGGGCAAACACTTTTTTCAAGGTACTTGGCAAATAGATTTTTCCAGGCATCTCGGGAAAACGTGCCTCGTCTCATCTGCTTCTCTCTCTTCATGTAATCCCACACTGACTCCAAGACGCTGAGATCGGGGCTCTGTGGGGGCCAGACCATCTGTTGCAGGCCTCCTTGTTGCTAGAGATGGTTCTTCATGACTGTGGATGCATGTTTTGGGTTGTTGTCAAGCTGCAGAATGAATGAATTTGGGGGCTGATTAGATATCTCCCTGATTATAGCGTGCGATGCGTCTAAACAGCCATAGTGCTGAAAACTTCACAAAGTGCTGTATTAATTTCGCCCGCCTGGAATCTCTCTGTCTTCCAGCTCTCCATCTGCTCCTTCTTTCTTTTTCCATTATGGCTTTGTATTGGTATGACTGATGCCTACAGCTTGCATTAGAGGAGTCGCTGGGTCACTGCCATTTTCTCTGGCCTTGCTTTGCTCTTGAAAGCACCACTCAATCTATCAAGGTTGACCAAAAAAATTTGTTTTTTTTTTTAAAACCAACTGTCAATTGCACTAATTTGTGTGACTCATCCAGTGCTGACACGGCCCGTTACAATGTCACCTCAGTATCTGTTGACAGGTGTGTATATATAGCAGTGTGCAAGCGAGTTATGACGCGGTGCATGCACTGCCAATGTTTTTCTGTCACCCCCTCTTTGCAGCAGGCGGAGGTGACACCACCTTCTTCCCTCCTGTCCACCTTTTAGTCACCTGCAGGGAAAACATGATACAACCCCTTCTGCCCTCTTTCCCTGGTGTACCGCCCCCCTTTTAGTCACATGCTGCAATGTATCAAGCAACCAAACATCCTGCGGTGCTTTACAATACTGCAAAGTTTCATACTGAACCAATGCCAAGTAAATACAGGGTCAATAAAAGGCAGGTCATGTAGGGGAGATTTATGAGATGAATCATCATTAATTTGCCAATTCTGAACCCATTTTCACCAATAAATCCCTGTTTTTATTTTTACTTTACGTTTCATGTATTTTGATTTGGGGTTTTGAAGATCTGGAGTGTAAATGCACCTGCCTCTACAGCACTTTACTGTAGGTTATAAATAAAATAGACGTGCCCAATTGATCTGATACCAATTCCAGCGATAGTATTGATAATGTCGATATCTGGTTCCATTCGCCCACCTCTAACATCCCCTGAGCTGGGAAGCTGTCGGCATCAGTGTGGTCAAACAGTGCGGCCCTTGAGCAACTTTCTTTGCTGTTTTTAGAACTCAGTGTCCCAGAGCAAGGAGCAGGTATCATAACAGGATTAATGTGTATCTTTCTCATCCTGTCACACTCTTGTTATCTCGAGTCAGACAGGCTGGATTCGCTGTAAACACTCGTCTCGAGGGGGAGGCCGTCCCTGACAGCAGGCTCTGGGGATTTTATCCAAGACATCTTTGAAATAATGACAGGAATGCGTGTCTCCGTGTCGTAGTTTTGTTGTTTTTTTTTCAGGAGATTTAACAAATCTTGAAGGTGAAAGAGTAAAACAAAAGAAGTTTTGAGCGACACAGCAGAAGTAGCACCTCTTCTTCTGTCTTTTTTTTTTTTTTCTAACAAAAACAGTGAACCCTGTCTTGGTAGATGGTTTAAAGTTTCGTATCATCAGTCGTGCTATTTTAGATCTAAGAAACTGATGAGGAAATCCTTCTGAAGGCTCTTATTTGGTAATACAGCTCGCCTCGCTTAGATGAGGCTCTAGACTGTATTCCTGTGTTTGTGGGCTGTGTTCTCTGTGATAGTTCTTGCTTTCACAGTAAAAAAAAAAAAAAAGAAGGAAAAAGTGCTGAGTGCAGCAGTGTAGCGCTCGCCTAAGGTGGAAACATATGGTCTCTCTGAGTGAAACCAGCAGTAATGTAGAAACCATCCTGGTCCCCGCTAATCTGAAGTACATGGACTGTGGTGTGCTGGGCAGACTTGGGTCACATTCACAAATGAAACATTTGTCTTTTTAGCAGCTTTTCAAACTAAACATTTATTTTCAGGAAATTTTCCTACATGAGAAGCATCCCCCGATCCACGTTAGGCCGCTTTTATGACCATTCTGAATATTCTTTTCCTCGCTCCCTGTGATCTGACGGCTAAAATAAAGAGAAACCTGTGTTTCTAATTGTATTTTCAACCAAGTCAGCGCTCGCTCAAGAGCCAGAATTTTATTCACAGCACCTGGTGCGAGTTCTGAATGGAAAACTCTGACCTGGCAGCTCTCGTGGAAATTGGCTGGGTTTTGTTATGTATCTGGTACAGTAAAGTTACACAGCTGCTCCTGTGAAGTACAGCTGCTCGCAGATGAATAGGAGCACACGCACCAGGAGCAAGAGTGTTGGGTTTCTTCACTTCGACTTTCCGAATTGTAAAGGTGAAAAGTGTATCGCTTAGATCTGAGATGAATACAGCGAGCATTGTACAGTCTTCCTCTTCACAGCGCAGCTCTGTCTGGTCCCAGTGTGAAGATGGTAAATTATTCATTAGTTCGCGTGGGGAGTTTAAAGAGTGCTCTGAGAACAGGAGGATGGAAAGTGTGGATTCTCTTGCATCATTTTAGCTGCTTTACTTTCAGACCTTCAGAGGCGTACATGCGCAGGCGCCACAGACAGTTGCAGAAAACCAACAGTGCACCTAGACTGTCTCGTGCAGGCGTCTTCTTTGTCGCTAGGGATACCTTCACAGGATCAGTTAGAAACGGGGGGGAAAAGAAAGTGAGAGAATTAAGCTAAGGATCTCTGTGTGTTTGTGTGAATTTTTAACTCTGCCTTTTCTCTCTCTGTGCCAGTCCCCTCATGTCAGCAGCAGGGCCTGTGGGAAGGAGAGGGGGTGGGGGTATGGAAGTGAAGTATCTCTAGGGCATGTGTGTGCAGCCTGCTATAAACAGGAAGAAAAAAAAAAACATTAACGTGTTCTGTATTCTTTGCACAGGGCATATAAAACCATAGAGGAAGATGACCTAAAGTTTCCCCTGATCTACGGTGAAGGGAAGAAGGTAAGAAGTGCTTCCACAGCCTCATGTGCCATGCATGTAATCAAAGCTCACCGGGGCATCATTGGTACACCCGACCTCACATCACCCAAATCGCTGTGTAGAGACATTCCTGGCCTTTTTGAATCCTGCACAACCTGTAGCACAAACGAGCTCTCCAAGGACTTATTATTATGTCTTTCAGCCAATTTAAAAACCAAAAACGAAAAGAAAAAAAAAATAGGCAGAGGTCTAATGTGATGGTCCTATCTGAGTCGTGTGTTAGATGGATCTGATGAAAGGTAACATATGCTAACTGAATATATCAATACTGAAACACTGACTTGCACTAACAAAATCTTGTCAACGCTGAAAAAAGGGAAATGACACAGAACAAAAGGTCAAGAGTTTCCCCCTCGTTCAGTTACACTGTACATGCAGTGGTGCGTAGAAGCCTTTCTCTCTTTTTTTGACTTGAAAAGGTCAAAGGAGCAGTGCGATAGACCCGAATATGCTCTCGCCGTGCTCTTCCCCAGTTTTCACTTCCATACGTACAGAAAATAGATTTGAGTTTGACTGACAGCAGGGGAAAGATGTCACCCCTACAGTATTCTGTGTGCCCACAACCGCATTCAGACTCACCCCGGCGCAGCTGCCGGTGCCCACGTCGTGTCCTCTCCCTTTGAAGTGAGGAGCGGAGATGGATGGCTAGATAGAGTGAGAGAGAGGAACGCCAGAACACTTCAAAGCCCCTGGTGCGCAGCCCTCTGGGCCCCGGCACTCTACAATTAATCCCAGGATGTTTTACCCCTTTCTCTGCTGGAGGAACCTTTCCACCACTTTAAAACACTCTCCCTGCGTCGTTCTGCATACTGATCCAAGCTCAGTCCTACTCGGCTCCTCTTGTGCTCGTGCCTAAAAGTTCTTTCTCTGTACAGTAGAGATTTCCAGACAATATGAATCAGCTTCAGGGAGGATCAAACAATCAGTATGTGATTGAAGTGCAGACTTTCAGCTTTAATTGCAGGATTTAAAGAGGGGGGGGAAAGCGTAGCACGGTGGTACAGTGGTTAGCACTGATACCTCACAGCAACAAGGTCCTGGGTTTGAACCCACCATCTGTTGCTGTGAGGCATGTTCTCTCTGACATGTAGTTAGTTTAACTAGTTTTTCTGAATTGGCTCTAGATGCCTAATGGCTGTCTGTCTCTCAGTGGATTGATCCAAAGTGCTACATTTACTCTTTTTATACAGAATCACACATTTTCAGAGGCTCAAAAGTAATTTAGCAAACTAACATAATTTAAAATCTAAGGGCTGTTTTTAATACTTTGCAGTCAGTGCCTGAAGTCTAAAACCCACAGACATAATTAAACAAACCCAAATGTTAACCACATGTTCCAAATATTTGGAAAAATTATAATGAATGGTAGAATTATTACCACAGGCTGATGTTGTTGACATCTATCTTCCTGGTTTATGTGCGACCTGCTCTACACATGGTGGTTTATGCAAGATTTTAGATGTAAGATTTTCCTAAAAGCAAAGCGATTCAAATAATCAAAACCTCTGGCTCGTTTCTAAACTGTTCACCAGTCATGGTGTCGTCAGGTTCTCCGATCTCTGCAGTCTGTGACGAAGAGCAGAAATGATGACCAAGCTTCAAAATGGAGACCCGAGTTTCAAAAGGCTTCCACGGTGGCCTTCTAGATAACATCTACATAAGATCTCACTCGTTATAAGACGATCAGTCATGGGCAGAAATGAAAATGCCTTTCGTAGAGTTTGTTGCTGCTTTGTTTGACTCATACGGAGGCTGTGCTTTAAATGCCTCTGATCTTTTCCAGGCTCGCGTGCTGGCGACCATCGGGGTCACGAGAGGCCTCGGAGACCACAGTCTCAAAGTGCACGACTCCAACATTTACATTAAGCCCTTCCTGTCCTGCTGCCCAGAGGTACGCTCCAGTTTTATGTCTTCTCTATGTCTGCCTTGGTCATGTTGTTAGAATTTTTGCCTTACAGCAAAGGAGGAAAAAGGATTCAGAGTCCTTTCTGTTCGACCTGTCCAGTGGGTTTGGGCCTCTCGCCAAGTATTGACAATAACAGGCTCTACCACCCTCTAGGCTCTCAAGGATATGCAGTCATGTGAAAAAATAAGTACATCCCATGGGAGGTTGTTGGCTTTTATGGCTTGTCTGAGCAACCAGACATTTGACAATCGTTGAAATACTGACTATAGATAACGATGATATTAACAAACACAACCACAGCAAATATGCAAAAATAGCCGAGACGGTGAGCGCACTACTTTTGTTTCCATCGTTTTTAGTTTCAAAATAAGAAAGTAAGAGCAAAGACTGGCCACACACTGCACGGCCTCCTTTGGCAAACTATTACAGATTACAAAAGCATTTTGTAAACAGCAGTCTTTCAGTTCTTTCTGTGGATTTTCTCCTGCAGTTCTTATCTATAGGATACTAATTCTCTGAAACTCTTGGGCCGTTTTGTATGTACGACATATATAAAGGTTTCCGATAATGTGCGTTTTGGAGGACTATGGGGCCACAGTGAAACCTTCAAACTTGAATGCCTTAAGCTTTTGTGGCATTTGAGGTTTGTTTTGCATCATCATATCCTCTTTCATCTTCAGTTTCTCTCTTTTTTTTCACAGGTGGTTTTCTTTTTGAAACAGCTGCTATTCAGTTGAATCTATTCTTCCCTAAACTAAAACGCTTCCCCCGGCCACTGGCCTCAGCACAAGTTGAAGGCTTTATCGATCCTCACTCCTTGTGCTCAACAGTTAGAGAGGTGCTCTTTTAATGAAATTGCAAACCTTGCTCTTCAGATGGCCTTGTGTTATCTCCTAACACTCTTAGATATGGTGCGGAATACATATTTGAATCAATGACTGCAATGTGCCCAGTATCTGAGGCAGTGAAGCAACTTCCAAAATACAACATTTCTGTCAGTGTCCTTTATAGCTTGTATGAGGTTTTTCTCCCACAGAGCTGCCCATGTCTCACCAATCAGGTCTAATGTTACTGTGGCCAGACAGTATCTTGGATTCATCTACCACACTTTAGGATGTTTGAATCTATGGCAACAAATCTGAAAATGTACCTACTTATTTTTAAAGCCACTTAAAAAATCTAAATCGTCTACAAAATATGAATTTTGTGTGCTATTCACTTGAGTTTATAACCTGCCTTAATAGGAACAATTTCTGTGGGTTATACTTTTTCACATGACTGCATCAAATGCAATGATTGCATCGTCTGTCACAAAGCAGAAGAAGAAAAACCTGGATGTTAGCAGTTGTAATGTAATTGTTTTTTACCTTCTCACTCTTCTCAAAGAGTCACCCTCATCGGTCACTTCACAGCATCTATCCTCCGTCAGGTTACATAAAGTTGTTGCTATAAAACAGTGGGTGTGTGGGTACACAAATACAGAATGATGAAAGCAGAGCACTCTTGTGGCACATACATCGCTTGGACTGTTAGTGAGGAAATCTGTGCCTACTCCTTTTTGGCCTTGTTGCTGCGTAGCTGCTGAATGACTAAAATCTGAGAGATTTGTTAAGTTATTCTGGGGAAGGGAGCCAAAGTCTGGGTTAGGGTTTAAAATCCTTTGCATTTGAGCATGTGTCAGGAGGGGAGGAGAGAAAACGGAATAAAAGGAAAAGTCAGAACAAGAGTGGCAGTATGTTAACATTAGTGTTTTAGAGGGGCTCTTTAGTTTTATATTACCCTCGTTGTGTCAGCCGCCTGATATAACGAGAGCGCAGAGGTAACCGCTGATAGCCAGTAACAGGAGGGACTGTGAACTGTGTGGTCAACGTGTGCGTTGATGGTCCCTGCAGTGCAGTGGATTGCAAGAAGGAATCCACTGCAAATGATTGCAGTAGTCATGAAAACCTGCACATTCTCTTGATCTTTAATTCATTGCACTCAAAGTTCAGTCATAGTTCAGCCTCCTTTTTTTTGATGTTCCTATAAGATGAGTGAAGTCAAGGTTTTTCCAGATAGAGCATAAAAACGTGATTTCTATATGAAAGACGTGGTATTCCTGAGCATTAAGGGGCCATAATAGCTTCTTTTGAAGAAAAATAATAACAATACAATTAAACATCGGCTTAAGGGTGAAGTCACAGAGGGTCACTATGAAAGGCATGACTGTTGTCAGAGTGCTGTGCACAAACAACAGTGATGACTGCAGCCTTCAGAGAATTGTTAAGAAAAGTAAATTCAACAAACTGGGAGAGTTTCACAAAGAGTGAATGGTGTCAGTGGATCAAGAGCCACCACATACAGATGGTCTTCAGGAAAGAGGCAACTGAAACGCTAATAAAAAGCCATGCCTGAACCGGAGAAGCATCTGACATGAGCTGAGGAAAGCAAGAAGCGTTTCAGTAGCTCAGAGGTCCAAAGTCTCTTCAGATGAAAGTAAAATTAGCATTTTATGGGAAAATCAAGGTCCTACAGTCTTGAGGAAGAATAGAGAAAAATGGTGTTTAAACTCCAGTGTGAAGTTTCTGCCAAAGTGCCAGGACTACTACTAATTATTACTGCGTTTGACTGGCCAACCAAATCACCTGACCCCCAACCCCATAGAGAATCTGTGGTGTATTATAGGAAGATGAACCCCAAAATACACACAAACTGAAGGTCACTGTCAAAGTAACTTAGGCTTTAATAAACCCATTCGCCGTCTTCAGGTTTTTCAGCTAATTCAGGGTAGCCTATCCCAGTCATAGGGTGAGAGGCAGGGTACACCTTGGATAGACCACCGGCCTCTCACAGGAGATATACAAACATTCAAAAAGAAGAATTTTTTCCTGATATTGACTTATTTTGACATCCACTAGTTTATATGTTCAAAGAAATGTGTGGGAGAGTGCCCTGCAGGGAATGTGAAAACATCCTGCGGGGACATGTTTTCCCTGCACACTGTCAAGTTAGAATTACAGACTTCTCTCAGGTTGTGAATAAAAAATAAATAAAACAGGCTGACCTTGGCAGTTTGAGTCATTTTGACATAGAATTTGGGTATTTGAGTAAAAATCAGAGGATCAGGTCCTTCCCTTTTCTTGACATACTATAGGAATGCTGCCTCATAGATTGATAGTCTCGCTGTGTTTCTCTCTTTCAAAGCCTGACTTACTGTTCATCTCAAGGTTCCCCACAACATGGAGCCTTGTGATCCACACACAACTCATTTTGATAATCTTACAGTGACTCTCCCTGCTTGCGTGTGGTGTTCTGTTTTTAAAGTAGCCTAAGTTGGTGTGCCTGCTGTGAATAGGCAACGCCTCCACAGTAGCAAAAGAATTACTTGAAGCAACCAAACAAAAGCCATCCAAGGCCACTGGGTATTATTTTTGCCTGCTGTTTCAGAGTATGCTTCTGTTCGCCCATAGTAATTTGAAAGACTGTGCCTCACCAGAGTTGCCACAGTAACACGAGTTTCCCTGCTTCAGAATATCTTTGAAGGATTGAGACCATCAACATTGTTTAGACAAGTATATGGAGGCGGATGTGTTAAGAAAGTAGAGATTAAATGGAAAGATCGTCCTAGTAATTTTTCTTGATATTTTGAGAGATTCATGTAGAGATATCCACACTAAGAGACTTGTTACAGTACAGGTAATCCACAAAACAGTTTACATTGTGTTCTGTGGCTGCCATTGATTTTTTTTTTTCTTCTTATAATCTCAATAGCTTATGTCAATAAAAATGTTGGGTGGTCCAGCACTCTGGTCCAGAATTGCTTGAAGCACAACAATGAAATTGGAAATCCCTTGACTTGGCATGTAGCGCTAATGATAGATGAACATTTTGGTTTCTTAGCTGTCAAATCTTTGAACAGTACCAGTGACTGTGTAAAAGATGGCCAGCGTGGCTCCACTCGGGAGCAGTTCAGTAATCCATTTTTTCTTAAGTCACTGGTTAGTGACCCATTAGCAAACATTATAGTACACTCAGGAGATGGAGCAGGTCATCTTCTAATCAGAAGGTTAGTGGTTTGATCCCTGACTCCTCCACTCTGCATGGAAAAAGTACCCTTGGGCAAGGTAGTAAATCCTGAGTTACCCTCTGAGTGTTAATGTTAGACATAGAAAGCACTTAGGCGTAGAAAAATTGCTTGTATGAATGCGGGTGGATGAGGCTTGAAGCAAGAAGCACTTTGAGTGCTCAAGTAAAGTAGAAAAGTGCTATAGATAAACCAGTCCATTTACCACTAAGATGGTGTACTTTAATCGGATGTTTCATTATTACGCCATTTCCAGCTTCTCCTCTGCTTGCCTTCTGTATTGCATTGTGGGAAAGCATTGTAACACTGAAAGCCAGGAGCAGGGAGAGTAGCAGCACAGAAAAGGAGAGGCGTCAGTGACAACAGATACAACCCAGATTAAATCAGATACAGGAAGAAAGAAAAACAGCTGGGATTGAGGCGGGTTGCAGAGCAGCCTGCAGAGGTGCCGAAGCTACATGTCCTGTATGAAACAGCCAAGACGGGTGGCAGAAGTACATACATTTGTCAGTTAAGCAGGAGTATACATACTTAGGTGCTGTATTCTGCAATCACAACTTATTAACATATTATAACATATTAACCCCTGAGTATAATGTAATGAATCATGTGCACAGTAAGATTTGCAGTGAATCCTATGCAATAAGCACCAATGACAAATACAAAACAATGACTCCCCGAAAATGCATGAACCAAAAAATAATCATGCCTGTACATGAATATGCAAGGAGTAAAAAACAGAGGTAATTGTGTTAAAATGTGGGGAGTAAAAGTAAAAAGTTGTCAGAAAAATAAACACTGAAATACAGTTACCTGACAATTTTGCTCGAGTACAGTAATAAAGTGTCTGTGCTTCATTGCTTCCCACCTCTGACAGGCAGTATGTTGTGTGATAGAGTATCAGCTGAGCCATCAGTTACAGAGATGAACTTCCAGGATTCACTCTGAGCCTTGTGTACAGAGCAAATCCTCTGCTCTGTTAGTTTTGAAGTATTAAAGTTGCATCCCGTTTGTCTTGAAATTATTAAATGCTCTTATTGCTGTAATTCAGATTCACCACCCTGGTATTAGAAGATAATCTGGATCAGTTTACCCTTTCAAGATTAAAGATAACCACTAGGAGGCCATGGCTAAGGCTTAAGACTGCTGTCCATTAATTACAGAGTGAGCATGTTGAACAGATGAACGTGCAGCACATTATAAAGTGCGTTGCAGCAGCTTTTTCAGGTTAAACACGGCTAAAATGCACAATCCATCTATACAATATTTTCTGTCTATAAATATGTAACGGGTGTACAAGGTTTGTACAAACAGCAAAGTTTTACAATTCTTGCTTCTCTTTTTTTTTTTTTCTAATTTCAGGTCAGAGTTTATCCTTTAGCACAGTGTGAGCATGGAGCCGATGACGTTCTGGTGCTGGGAACTGACGGACTGTGGGACGTCCTCTCCAACCAGGAAGTGGCTGAATCGGTCGGCTGTTTCCTGGCAAACTGCGACCCTGACGATCAGCACAGGCATGTTCACCCATCCCACACAGCTGCAGTCGCAGACAGGCCTGAACTTCCTCTCACCTCTGTCTTGTTTGGAGAGGGTGAACGTGGTTATCTTCTCACGATTACGCAAATTTCCAAACATTCAGATAATGATGTCAAAGAGCAGCTCATTAACAGGATTCCCTGATTATTTCCTCAATGGTTTTACTTTTTTAATTTTTGTTTGTTTTCTTCTGACTGTGGGCAGAGGCATTTATTCAATGGCTGCACGTTGCCATTATTCCCTGTTCTGATCATTATCTAATTGAATATCGCTGTGTGATGCTGACACCGTAACTACTTCTCACTTTCGTTCCCTCAGGTACACGATGGCAGCTCAAGACCTCATAATGAGAGCGAGGGGGGTGCTGAAGGATCGAGGCTGGAGGATAGCCAACGACAGATTAGGCTCCGGAGATGACATCTCTGTCTACATCATTCCCCTCATGTATGGAAACAAGCAGAACTAGCCAAGCTACGAAACCGCAGCCATCGCTGAAACACAACCCTGCCTTGACCTTTTAAAACTTCACATGTGCAGTTTTACCTCATTCCTTGTTCTCCTTTTAAAAGTGCTTTTGTTTCTGCTCAGATCAAAACCTGATCTGTCTCAGTTTCACCCTGATTATCCTCAATCAGGGTGATCTCTCTCTTTCTCTCCCTTTTTTTAAATAATGAAAAGGAAACAATCATAAGAGTAGCTGTTAATGATTACTGTTATTATTGTTTTTTTTAATTCTCGTGGAAGCCATCCTTAGCTGTGTTTCGGGGGGCAAACCCTGTAAACCTGGACTCTCGAATGAGATGACGACATCTCAGGACTGCTGTTACTAACTAATGCACAATATTTAATAATGTGAAAATGTAAATAATCTGAAACACAAGACATTGGTTAAGTGTGTTTGGCTGAACACCTGTACAGTGTTTACCCCCCCCCCCC